CTGCTTAGGTTTTTTTTATTTTTTATTGCTTAGATGAGTGAACGAGCTCACAGCCCACCTGGTGTTAAGTGGTTACTGGAGCCCATAGACATCTACAACGTAAAATGCGCCATCCACCTTGAGATTTAAGTTCTAAGGTCTCAGTATAGTTACAACGGCTGCCCTACCCTTCAGACCGAAACGCATTACTTACTGCTTCACGGCAGAAATAGGTAAGACGGTGGTACCTACCCGCGCGGACTCACAAGAGGTCCTGCCACCAGTACGTAGGGTAATTATTTAATTTCATTTCGTTCCTAGGATTATTATTTAAAATCGGACATTGTAAAGAAGAATTCTTAATCAATTTATTTTTTATGAGCAAAATCAGAAAAAAAAAATGTTTCTCCTAATACAAGCGAACTTTTCTTAGGACACGAGTGTCTTTAGAAAAGTGCTCTTAGAGAATATAAGAGCTCTCGAGAATTTTTAATATAGTATTAATAATAATAATAATAATAAGCCATTTATTTCTTGCTTTACAAAGTTTAAAAAATATATATAAAAAATATAAATGTATGTATTACTATTTAGGATGTAAAAGTTTTGTAATGAATCAGTAAAATTTAGTTAGCAAGCACGCCGGATCGGGTAAAGGCCTCCTCCAAAGATGCCCAAGCGTCTCTATCCTGTGCTACGTCTATCCAGTTTGGGCCAGCTGTTCGTCTAAGATCGTCTTCCCATCTGGTTAGTGGTCTCCCTCGACTTCTCTTGCCCGTTGGGCCGCTCCGAGATGTAACTTTCGCTTTCCATCTCTGGTCTGTAATATAGTATTACTAAAGATAAATTAAAAAATCTTAAATTACAGCCAGAGCTCGCCACGATCAGGCCATTGACCTTGCAGAACCACAACTTTTAAAACGATTTAAACAAGTATTTACGGCGGGAAAATATCATATTATGGTGGATATAATAGCTTGGATATGAATATCGTCATCAATAATGACCGTTCTAGAAGCATCTTATTTCACACAGTGTTGTAAAGGTCACAGGTACAAAGTACGCGGAACTGCAAAGGTAGTTAGTTTGCTCTTGAGACGTCAACGATTTTGACGTTGATGCGCAAAATACCTTGGGGTGAGGCCGCATTGTAAATATATAAAAAAATTCGGAGTTTTTTTGTCGAAAAGTATTCGAAACATCGGAAATACTAAAATAAAATACATACACGGGATACAATGGGATATAATTAACATTGATTTCAGAATGTGAAATTCTCTGATCGATTATTCATAATATTTTATTAGAAATAATTATAAAACTAATATTTCATAATATTTACAACCACCGACATATTTTCTATCTTTAAAATTATCACATTTAAAATATATTTTTTTAGATTATTTTCTACTCGTGTTGAAGGGAAAAGAATCATTATAACTGAAATGAAAATCTCATTATTTGAAGGTTTTTTTAGACTGAGGTACATCGGGGGCTGGGTGAAATTTTGATTTGCTTCACGAACTCCGGTATTAAGAGTAAACAGACACTAGTTAGTATAAGAAATATTATAAAATTGATTGCAAAGTTCTGCTGTTTACGGCCGCAGGACCATTGGGGTTAGCGAAAATCCCGTTCTCTCGAGCCGTTTGGAACCTTTGTGGGTCTACGACGACATTTCAATTCCCTATTTTCTGTATGTTACGTGGGAAGTGCTTTGAGGAACTTTTTGAGATGATCTCGTCATCTTAATTTGATGATCGCACCATCATTACCACCGGAATTCATCCTTACTACCCAGAACTGCTGATTCATGGGTTTCCAGAGATCTTTTGTACCACGTCCCGTTCGGATTGGAAATCGATTGCCCCCAATAATGCTTCCTGAGCGCCATGACAGTTTCTTCGTCGAACGAGCTTTGAGGAGATTCCTGGGCGATAGATAAGGGTTTGGTTGTGCGCCTAGCTTTGCTGCATCTATGAGCAACGGTGAACACTCATCATTAAGTGACTCGTCTGTCTATAAAGACAATAAAAAGTACATTACCATCCAAACATCACAATGTTAACAGCTGTAGGCACCAAACAAACGCTCGACGCAAAACAGTTATGACAATGAGAGATAATTCACTTAACAATACCATTGTTTCTTCACGCAAAGGCGTGACGTTTACATTGTAATTTATTTTCCCATATTACGTAGTGTCAAACAAACAATTTCTCAATCTTATCTAAATTTTATTAGGTTAGGTTTAGTGAAAGAAGAATAATTTTCCCATTTATCTCTGGTTTTTGTTGTCCCTATTTTACCCTTTTTGTTCAGTCCTTTAGGCTGAGTAAATTCACTAGACGGCGAGGTCACGAGGCTTAGCCCGAGAGACTTTGCTAACATTAACTCTAGCAAGAGCAGTACTTCGCTGTTTCTACTACGGAATCGGAATATCGACCCACTGAGAAGATCTGGCGAGAAGGTCAGTCTTGGAATGTCTAAAAGCACCGATTACAGAGCGGGAGGATCGTTAAACAAGCTTAAGGAGGGTACTGAAGACCCGATCCAGCGACATGGTTGTGCCCTTGGCATTGCCAATATGAATGACATTGGCGATCACTCATCTTCAGGTGGGCCATGCGTGTCAGTGTACTTTAAACAGCTTCTAAAACGCCCAAGGAACTATGACTAAGACTTATAAGTCTAATTAATATCCTCGAAAAAAGTCAGGAAATATCGTAAAAAGAACTAGTTTATTTATTATTACGAAATAGTCGATTTAATCGACTCTGTTATACGTAATCTCGATGACGAAACATAAAACATGTGCTAGTTAATTACTGTTAAGATGTTAAACATTACGTATTATGTTTGATAATATTTAGGGCCTGGGTCAATGACTTTATAAATTAAGTTTATCTATCATAATTTGTTTAAAGCAGTAAATTTGTTTTTACACTTTAAGTTAGGAAAGTTTCTATTGGTGTATTTAAAAGAACTAGTGTTTGTCCGTTAGAAATTCGACCGTAGGTAGTCATCCTCAATTTATGATTTGGTTACATTGTAATGGCATCTCGAAAATATGAACCACTGCCTTGCCTATTTCGGCAGCTAAGCAGTGATGAGTTTATCTTTGAAGGGTAGGGTAGCCGTTGAGACCGAGAACATGGAGGTTTTCAAAGTGGATGACGGGATTCACGCTGTGAAGTCTGTGGTAATATATATGGTCTGTGGTAACTTAACACCAAATTGGCCGTGAGCTAGAATAACATAAGTAAACAATAATAAAAAGTTTAAGAATAAATGCGAAGGTTTATTCTTCCGCACTACTGCAGCGAGTAGGTGGATCTTCACACTTTACCTGGTCACCATCCTCGCCGAACCCGTCGCTTGCGACAAAGAGCTCGACAAGTAAATTAACCCATAGACACAGCCCACTGAGTTTCTCGCCGGATCTTCTCAGTGGGTCGCGTGTTTGACCCAGCGGTAGTTTCTGCGAAGCACTGCTCTTGCTAGTGCCAGTGCTAGCAACATTCCCGGTTTGAGCCCCGTGAGCTCACCTACACGCTATGGTGAAGCTGAAATAGCCTCTCAAGGCTATCAGCATAGGTAGGAAAAAAATATTCTCTCTTAATTTGGCTACAAGCTCGTAGACAGAATCAGTTAAACCTACAATAATTATAACAACAAATTAGATCCATTAAATTACAAACTTATCTAAGGCCATCAGTTTCTTTAGCTAAGTTCAAAATTGTTAAATAATTTCCGGACTATTAAAAAAAAACCTTGACACATAATTTTAAGCATTACCATAGATAAAAAAATAGCACCTTCGTTTATTACATCTGTAAATAAGGCCACAGATCAAGTATAAGCTACTACTTATTACGATATCGACAAGCCGTAGAACTATCGCGACGGCATACCCAGTGCTGGATTAGCCAGGAAGTTGGAAGCAGCAAATGCGACAACAGACCCGCACCTTTGAGGGGTCGCATCCCTGTGCCCAAAAAACATCGTTAAACAAGCCCAAAACTATTTTCAAGGTCAGCTCTGACCATAGTGCAATTGTATAGCTTATCTCAAATCACCAATGGTCGGAAAGCAATTTAAGGGCCCGCTGTTGACTTTTACTCCAAGCCCTACGTTGGATTTATCCGGCAGCGGGCATACCTAATACATGATTTCGAGAATAGACTATTTATGGTCGAATTTTATTTAAAACAAAGTACGATCATTAAATTTGGTGGAAGGACGACTTGGAAATAGGTACCACCATGTAGCCTATTTTCACAGCAGTTATAGAACTGAGACTTCGGACTCCACCTTGAGATATAAGTTCTAAGGTCTCAGAATAGCTACAACGGCTGCCCGACCTTTCAAACCGAAACGCATTACTGCTTCACGGCAGAAATAGGCAGAGTGGTGGTACCTACCCGCGCGGACTCACAAGAGGTTCTACCACCAGTAATTACGCAAATTATAATTTTGCGGGTTTGGTTTTTATTACACAATGTTATTCCTTCACCGTGGAGTCAATCGTGAACATTTGTTAAGTACGTATTTCATTATGAAAATTGGTACCCGCCTGCCGGATTCGAACATCGGTGCATCGCTCGATACTAATATGCACCGGACGTCTTATCCTTTGGGCCACGACGACTTCAAGTAACGTAAATCTATAGGTACTAATATTATAAAGCTGAAGAGTTTGTTTGTTTGAACGCGCTAATCTCAGGAACTACTGGTCCGATTTGAAAAAATCTTTCAGTGTTAGATTATCCATTTATTGGGGAAGGCTATAGACTATAAATTTATGGTAAAACCAATACAAGTGGAGCACCAATAAAGAATGTTTCAAAATAGGGGTTTTCCTTAACATTCTATAATTCAAAAATATTTTCACTTTCTACGTAAATGAAGTGGGAGGTAAAATTTAGCATTCTGCCAAGGTAACTCTATTCCACGCGGACGGAGTCGCGGACAAAAATTGTTTATAGGATACTTTCACAGGTCTGACTACTTTTTTTCAGGCATGACAGAGGCGGTGGAATTCGGCGCCGGCTTGGCTTGGCGTCTGCTTGCTACCCTCGAGGGGGGTTCGCTTATTATAGCAGCGTCGGCTCTCCTCGCTTACACCGCCCGCAACCGACTCTCGATCCGAACCGATCAACGACCAATCAGAACAGTACTAGTGAGTATCGAAAAAAGAATCTTAAAAAGAAACAAAGAAAGAAACAATCATAAGAACTTAATAAAAAATTTGACTCGCAATGTAGTGTGCAATATACTATTTTCTGATACTATATTCTTCTATTTCTCTGATAAATTTGTTATATTTTTATGTTGCGTTTAAGTGTACACACTTAAACTTTAATGAATATGTATGTGAATATACGAGTATGTGATAGTGATTATAATAATATATAGATATATGTGTAAATTTTATACTGTTATCATGATATAATATTGTGTACGTTGTTGTAAATGATGATATATGTGTATTTATATACATAATGTGTTTGTATATGTATGAAATATTATTATCAGTTTGGTTATTTTCACATTAAGTGATGCACCTACCACAGGATTCTCTACACCACCCTTGGTTGACTGGTAGAAAATGCCTCAGGCATTAAGTCCGCCATTGTACTTTTGTGCATGAAGTTAAATAAATAAATAAAATTCAATAGAACGAACTGGGACTAAAATAAGAAGTCTAAAAAACCCAAAGCCATCTTCATCATTCATCGATCCAGCCATTCATCCATTCATGAGCGTCAATTTCATCCGTGATCTGTTTAAATCACCACTCAGCAGATGCATCACTCCCGCCAAGAGAACGGGGAGTTCATGGGTGGGGTCATGCCCCTGTCAGGGGACAGGAGGGTCCCGAAATATAGGCACTAAAATTTTGTAACTCAGTCAAACATTAATTTTACTGCAACAAATTAAAATGCTGTTTATGTTTCTGCTAAACTAACTAGGTCGCAGAATCATAACCACCGCGATTTTACGTTCTGCCGAACCTTGTACGAAGCGCGCCTTTATTATTACAACGCTGTGGTCACAAAAATTCCACGATCTTTGTAAAAAAGCTAATAGAATTTTAGAAAAGTAGCTTACTGGTAGTAGGACTTCTTGAGCCCACACGGGTAGATACCATCACCCCACCTATTTCTGCCGCTAAGCAGCAATGCGTTTCGGTTTGAAGTTTGGGGCAGGCGTTGTATCTTTTTTGAGACCCTATAACTCATATCTTGAGGTGGGTGGCGGCATTTACGTTGTAGATGTCTATGGCCTCCGGTTACCACTTAACACCAGGTAGGCCACGAGCTCGTCCAATCATCTAAGAAATTAATAAATCTAAAGGTATTGATTGATCAGCAAACGAAGAAAGTTTATCTTACGGCACCAGCGCCAATACCCAATCACTATATCTTTAAAATGTGCAAATTGTAGTAAAATAATCAAAGAAGCTTCCAGAGAACAAATGCAAAGAATGAATACCCCTAACATAGACAATGTACCTTTAAACGATTGGGTTCGTTAATGTGTTAAACAAGGGTCAAGAACGAAGTCGTTTTGCCCTAAATGATAAAAGGCCCGGTTTAGTCATATCGAACGATGCAACCGCGGTACTAATCCCGCGAAAAACAAATTACAAAGGAAAAATGCACTTGACACGTGCTCACGCACGACTTCCATGTTAATGGATCGTGTAATGAAAATAAAATTGGAAAATTTACAAACTTGTAAAGGGTTTTTTATTAGGCTCTAAAGCGCTCGAACTTAAAAAAAAAACCGGTGTTCGTATGTTATATTAAAATACAACTTATTCTTAGTCGCATACTTCATTGATGAAGGTCGTGTCCCTGAAAGCCTTTCGTGGCTCTTTGTACAAACAGCTTCCATTTCCTTCGGTTTTCGGCTTCTTTCAGGGCGTTCGCAACAGAGAGACCAGTGAGCGCAGTTATCTGATCTGACCAACGGTTTGGTGGCCGGCCGTTATTTAATTCTATTGGAGTGGGTCTTGTTTTACTGAGTCTAGCTCGTAATGGCGCCACGGTCGTACCTAATTCACCGCCGGACCACCGGCAGGTTGTACAACTGGAGCTTCCACTTACATTTTGAAGCTGTGTATGCGGATATCATAACTTCGTTTTCACGTCTTAAGCTGCCGTCCGCGGTTGCCGTATCAATAAATAAACCTTCAAAACTCCTTGAAGACAATCCGTTTATTGTTACATAACAGTACCTAGGTTATTTAAGATAATAATCAATATATCTGATTCGATAAGATCTCTCCACAATTATATACTTGCCTTGGACTTTTAGACGTTTCAATGAGTTTTTTTTTTTTTAATATTGCTCGATAACATTCCAGGTAACGAATACGAATGAATCATTAGGAAGAGAATTGAAAACGAAGTTCGAGCTGTGCGGGTGCACGGTGACGAGCGGAGCGGGAAGCGGGCGACGAGTCGACGTGCTTGTCGTGGTCGGGGCTGAACCGAAGACCGAAGGACTAGATGGCCTCACGGGACTTGTGACGGAAGATGTTTATAATAATATCAAGGCAAGTATAATAGCTTAAAAGTTCTTTCTCTTTTTATCGCCGCATAAGGCAGACGAGCATACGGCCCACCTGATGGTAAGTGGTTACCGTCGCTCATGGACGTCAGCAATGCCACTGCCTACCGTTGCCTGATTCATGTCATAGCGCTCGGGAAACACCCGTTTCCTTAAAACCTCCCTTAATCCTAAAAACCTTATCCAAGACCATTGCTAGATAAATTAGCGGTCATAGTAGATTATTTTTATTTAAACAAAAACTGTTGTAGGTACTGAACGAATCTACAGGACTCGAGCTAAATTTACATAAAAAAATCAAACTACATTAAAATACTACTATAGATTTACTCGCCCGACTCATACATTGTTTACTGACAAAAACCCACTTAATCAACTAGTAATTTACAAAAAAATGAATCGATTCGTTTATTTCCAGTTATTAGAATCATTTTCGCCGTTGGTAAAAGAAGGTGGCTACATTGCATGGGCTTGCGCGGGAGCTGAAGCGAGCGCGACGCGGGGCGCGTTCGCGGAAGCGGAAAGAGCATTCGATTCAGTGCTACAAACTACGTTACAGCATACAGCTAAACTGTAAGATTTGTCTATTATTTTAATCAACTTGTGATCAAACGTATACATGTTTTTTTTCTTTTCTTTAACTAACCAACAAATCTATGGTCTAATACTACATACCCTTTATATAATGTTTTTAAGTAAATGTATTAAGTATTCTTTTTATAATAACAAACATTAAAAACAATTATAAAACTGTAAAAAATTAAAGTTTCTTATGATAATGATGTACTCGATGATCTAGCTATTATATGTTTATAAAAGTAATAAAGATGTTTAGCCGACAAATCCCTAAATAGAAAACAATAAACATGGTGGTAAGACATCATATGAGTCTATTTCTGCCGTGAAGCGGTAATGCAGTAATAATTTTGCGGGTTTGATTTTTATTACACGATGCTATTCCTTCACCGTGGAAGTCAATCTTGAACATTAGTTAAGTACGTATTTCATTAGAAAAATTGGTACCCGCCTGCGGGATTCGAACACCGGTGCAGCGCTACATACGAATGCACCGGACATCTTATCCTTTAGGCCACGACAACTCCATGTCACTCCACTTCGGCTTAATATGTACCTGAGAATAAACATTTACTTCTTTATTATTTGCAGAGTTCATTGCGAGCCAGTATGGATCGGCCGAGGTGAAAGCCCCCAACGAACCGCCGATATACTTGTCGCAACGATATTAAAACACACGAACAGAAACAGCCACACATCTAGGTATTCCGTGAGGTAAAACATTACTGATCGTAAATAAAATATAAAACTTGACATAAATATAATCAACAAGTTAAAATTAATCAAAATATCAAGATAAAAAAGTTAGCTTTTAACCTATAAAACCAATTATAACTTTTTAGAAGTGCTCAAATGTTGGAATTGAAATAATGTCCTCGGATGTTGCTTCTCTTCTCTCTCTGGGACTTTAGTGGGACGTTATTATGAAATAACGTGATCGATACGATCCGTCCATCATGTTTCATTCACTTTCACACTCCATTCACCCAGTGTGCGTAGTGCGAGTTTTTTAACGTTCTCGATAGCGTAAAAGTTAACACAAATCTGTATGGAGTTGGAACGTTTGCCGCTAGGAGCGCTTTTCCGCTTTTAAAAAACTTGCACGAAGCCCACTTCATTAAATTCGCCCTACCTGTGAAAAAAGTAGCGCGCCAGCTACTATAATAGTCGAGTTTCAAGCTGACAGTTATTTGAATCTTTAATTTTAATATTAAATTTAATATTGTACTTAATTTTCCAAAATGAAAATGCTTTGTTCTACATTTCACTTTAATTTCTTATTTTACTCGTTATTGTTATAAAATTGTCACATTTACTCAGCAAGTTTGTGATTCCAGAAACGCTGCAAATATTGTGAGTCAACGTGTTGGGCGTTGGCTTAAGATCGCAACGTAGTAAGAGTTCTACAAGTCGGTGGGTCTATATCATCCATTAACATTTAAATTTAAATAAAATATAAAAGTTTTAGAGTAATCTACTGTGTTTTATTTAATCACTAGACGTAGACGATGACCGAGCTTTGCTCGTTTTTTTTTTATAACGCCATCTTGTTGTGTCTTTAAAGCGGTTAGTTGCCCTCAATTAAGAAAAATAGTATTATTATTCGCCAATAGATGTCGGGAAGAGTTGATTATTGAAAACACGAATAAAACAACATTTTCTGAAAATAAATCGTTGCTAGATCGATTTATCGCCCCCTGAAATCCCCTGTATACTAAATTTTATGAAAATCGTTGGAGCCGTTTCCGAGATTCAGATTATATATATATTAATATACAAGAATTGCTCGTTTAAAGGTCTAAGATACCTATTATAGATTAGTAGCATATTTATATGCCTCTTAAGAATGTTACTTTAGGTACCTATACCGCAAACTGGGCAGTTAAAACTTTTGAGCTCATAGATTATGACATTTTTTGTGACTGCCGTGTGGGTCACCGGTGCCCTACGCGGAGCATACAAATAATGATGTCGATTTCTGTTGTTATGGCGTCTGAATTCTCTTACTTTGCATTCTCTTGTTTGTTAATGTATATTTTAGTCTTTTAGGCCTCTAAGAAATAGATTCATTCTCAGTAACTTCGGATTCCTGATTCCCAGAGTCTACTAAATATTCCGACGCCTTAGCATGAAGATCGAAAAAATAAATCAACATAATTACTTCAGTGCGCCACGTAGGACACCGATGACCTACATGGAAGTCAAAGGGTTAAGAACTAAACTAATTTTAAGAATACAAATTAAAATTCGCTGAAGAGCAATAGCCCAAATAAAATAAAAAAAGAATATATGGCCTGGACACTTTTGAGCCAATTCTTATCTTTTTTTTTAATCTATTATATTTTAAACTAATATTACAACAATTAAAATATAAAAATCTTTTATATATATTATCTATATTAAACGAGATGAGATGAAGATTATTAAATTAAGTCTTTAATCAATTGGGATGAAATAAATGAAACAAGTTAAAATGGGATGAAATACAATCTCAATAAAATGGTGGTTATTTATTGAAAATTTATCAGTGGAGTTTTTGCAAGAACCCTCCAGCAGCTTCGTTTTAGTTTCCATATTTGTCTACTTTCACAGATGCTAAACAGCTAATAAACTAGCATTATTACACATTTAAATCAGAAGAAACCCTACTTGAACAAAAAGCAGTTCACCCACCTTCGCTCTACGCGTTCATCTCCCAAATTACTTTTTAAATTATCGCCATTTTACGAAGAGGAAATTGAAAAGAGTTGATACAACATTTCTAGGTTAAAAGATCAAGTAACCAATTGATAGAAACAAAAAAAACATTGATAAATACGTTTTAGCTCTCATCAAAAAATTGAGGGTAGAGGTAAGGAAAACTATAATAATACATATAAGAGGAGAATTGTCATGGGGGCGTGTTGAAAAAAGGTCGGAATCGCGACCCGCTGAGAAGATCCGGCGAGAAATTCGGTGGTCTGATTCAAGGGTTAGGTTGAACATAGAATTTTTTTCGAGTTCGACAAGTACGGTTACCGGGGTACCGGTCCCTAAGCAGCAATTAAGAGCAGCCTAGTGTTAGAGCTGAAGGCGTCTAATGTAAAGGTTATTGGATCTGATGGATCCGTAAGGACGTGACTGGAGCGTCGATAGTGACTGGCTCCTGCATGATCAGGATTCGAGGAGTAGCGGCGGCAATGATAAAGTGATTATCATGACGCATAGCTTTATCGAAGTACCGTTCCGACGCTGACTTCATATATTTCCGGATTGATTCGAAGCCCAGGTCGTCGCGTAGGACAACGTTCCTCACGAACTACAGAGCTCCAATGGTTTTGTAGGGACTCGAGGGTGTCTATGTGCGTGCGGGCCGCGTGAGCGAACACCACACTCGCGTAAGTCATGACGGGCCATAAGCAACCTTGGTAAAGTGTCACCTTGTTCCGAAGGGACACTTTATTCCGCTTACAGATTATAGGGTTAAGTTGGCTGAGAATAAATGCGGCGCTGTCGCTGATTGATTTTATGTGCGGGTGAAATTTCATCGATGAATCCAGGGGGACTCCCATGTAATTGACCTTCCTGGCCCATGATACAATTTAAAGTTCTTGGTAGCAGAGTCCAATCTTTAAATCGCAGAGTTCAGGTAGTTACGAAATAATATGCGTGCGGTGGAATGGGGAATCACACGTGGGCGTCTCGTTTGCGTTCCCATCCGCCGCGCGCCGTGTCCTTGGCTGGCGTGCCCTCGAGGGGGCGGAGACGCTCTCGGACCATCGGTTTGTCCGATTCGAGCTCTCTGCTTCCAGCTCGTTGAACGCGCCGGCTGAAGACGCCCGCGGCGAGGAGGAACTCCCGCGTAGCGCTCCCCGATCATTCCCACGATGGGCACTGAAGCGCCTGAACAAGGTGCTCGCGGTGGAGGCAGCCACAGTGGCCGCGTGGGCGCCGATGCCCGTGCGTCTAGTGGACGTGGAGTCGGAGGCCGACTGGTTCCGGGGTACAATGCGTCGCGTCTGCGATGCTTCGATGCCCCGGATCAGCGGTCGCGCTCCGCGTGGTGGTGCGTATTGGTGGACGCCCGAGATCGCGCTCCTCCGAGAGGAGTGCGTGCGGGCGCGCCGCCGAAGCGCCCGCCACCGCCGTCGCCGCCTTCGCGATGCGGACTTCGCGGAGGTAGCGGCCCGCCTGCATGCCGACTGCCGTCAGAAGCAGGAGGCACTGCGGCGGGTCATCGGCGAGGCCAAGTCTCAGAGCATGAAGACGCTCCTAGAGACGCTCGACCAGGATCCCTGGGGGCGCCCGTACCAAACGGTCCGCAAGAAATTGCGGCCGTGGGCGCTCCCGGTGACAGAGCGTCTCCAGCCTCAGCAGCTGCGGGAGATTGTCTCCGGGCTGTTCCCGCGGATGAAGAGGGACTTCGAGCCCCCCTCCATGGGCGCGCCGCCACGGGGTGATGTGAGCGGTGATGCCCCTGCTGAGGTGGTCCCTCCGAGCATCTCGGAGGAGGAGATTCGTGCGGCCGTGTCGAGGACGCGGAGGAAGGACGCGGCCCCCGGTCCTGACGGTGTTCATGGTCGGGTCTGGGATTTGGCCTTCGGTGCCCTTGGGGACCGGCTCGTGCGGCTCTTTGAAGCCTGCCTCGAGTCGGGACGGTTTCCGAAACAGTGGAAGACGGGCAGACTTGTTTTGCTGAGGAAGGAGGGACGCCCTGCAGACTCACCTGCAGGGTACCGTCCAATCGTGTTGCTGGACGAGGCGGGAAAACTGCTCGAGCGAGTGGTGGCCGCCCGCATCGTCCAGCACTTGGCGGGGGTGGGTCCCGATCTGTCAACGGAGCAGTTCGGATTCAGGGAGGGCCGCTCGACCATCGACGCGGTGATACGCGTGCGCGCCCTCTCTGATGAGGCTGTCGGCCGGGGCGGGGTTGCACTGGCGGTGTCCCTGGACATCGCCAATGCGTTCAACACCCTGCCCTGGTCGGTGATCGCAGGGGCGCTGGAGTATCACGGCGTCCCTGCGTATCTCCGTCGGCTGATCGGGTCCTACCTCGAGGACAGGTCGGTCATGTGCACCGGGCACGGTGGGGCGGTGCTCCGCTTCCCCGTCGAGCGCGGTGTCCCACAGGGGTCGGTCCTTGGCCCTCTCTTGTGGAACATCGGCTACGACTGGGTCCTGCGGGGTGCCCTTAAAAACCAATCACAAACAACAAACGGAGAGGGAGAGATAGGGCAACCCAAGACAGGAACCCAGTCGTAGCCGATGTTTCCAAGAGAGGGGCCAAGGACGGACGCCTGTGGGAACACCGCGGCTCAGACAGAGAAGGGCGGAAGCAACACACACAAACACATGCCCGGTGCAGCATGACGCCCGACCTGTCCTCGAGGTAGGACCCGATCAGCCGACGGAGATACGCAGGGACGCCGTGATACTCCAGCGCCCCTGCGATCACCGACCAGGGCAAGGAGTTGAACGCATTGGCGATGTCAAGGGACACCGCCAGTGCAACCCCGCCCCGGCCGACAGCCTCATCAGAGAGGGCACGCACGCGCACA